AAGCCGAGTGGCGAGGGCGAAGTTGCCCTTTAGGACAGACGCGAACATGGCATTCAGTCCATCGTGATTGACAGGTAAACTAAGAGACAGACCGATGTCTATTAGCAACATCAGACAATGCGACCAGCCATAGCAAGAGGCGTAGTGTACTAGCGAGTTACCATTCACATCCACAATGGTAGGGTTGGCCCCACTACAAATCAACAGACTCGCTATATTTTGGAACCCATTAATTATAGCATGTGACAACGCACTTCTGCCCACTGAGTCTTGCAAATTAACATCACTTTTCCTGCTCACTAACAACTCACAACATTTAAAATGGCCTGCAGAAGCTGCTAACATCAGTGCAGTTAAGAGTCCATGTTTGGAGCCTGTCGTAATATCAGTGTCAAAGCATAGAGGTAAGAGTATCTCTAAAACTTCCAAACTACCTGACTCGGCTGCTAAATGAACACACGTCTTCCCGTCCAAATTCGCACTCTCAATCAGCTTTTGCTGCTGCATGGAGTCCGTCACATTCAACAATGTCTGCACGTTCTTCACTCTGTTCGTCTTGCAAGCCACCATCAAAGGAGTTAGGTCTTCAGTCCGTGTTACGTAATAGTTCAAACTTGAACCGACACTATTACATAACAAGTCTAGATTGGTTGCACTTTTGCAGACTGCAGCATAATGGAACGGATACCAACCTTGTTCATCAGTGTGATAAACAAAACTAGGGTATTTTTCTAGAATTTTTGCGAAATAGATACTATTACTAGAAGCAGCTGCCGCATGGATAACATTGAAACTGAGACTTGAACATGTGAAACCTTCAGAAGCTAAGACTGATTCTAGATTCGATTCCGTAAACTCTTCCAACACTCGCACAACTTGGTCATTACTGGCCGAATTTCCTATTTTTAATACATGAAGTGCAGTTTTGTGATTCCCGTTTTTGAGGGCAACGTGAGCAAACTTGTGCAGGGAACTGACGTGGCCTTTTGAGACCAAAAAGTCAATGACGTTGAACGGTTCCGGTTCCATCTTCATGAGATCTTCGAAAAATGAATCGCTAGGGAACTGTCTCTGCTTCAGAAACAGGTCTTCACTCAAGAAGTCATCATCGTCCAACAAACAACTCTTCCAGGGCTTCGTTTTATTGATTTCCGCATTTTTGTCCATTAGTAGGACTAAACTGGTGACGTCATCATTAAGAGCGGCAGTTTCAAAGGGCCCTTCTCTGCAATCTTTACTCCTTCCACAACATGCAGAATCTATTTTCGGGTCGGCCAGGAACTTCTTCAGCACATCCATATCTCCAAAAGAGACCAATCGAATCAGCTGTTTAGCCTTGAAGTTACTGTCTCCTACATCGAACACATACTTGCTGTCGTAGAAGAGGTCATTCGGGTTCACTTTGATTCTGGCCGCAAAGTTTTCTCGTGCACTTCTGATCGGACTTTTAATCGGCGACAGTGTTTTCTCCAACTCCTGCCCAGAACTGCCTGGACTTTGCGCTTTCGTCGGCGTACTCCGACAGGCTCCGCCGCGCGTCTTTCTCTCCACACTAGGACTGAACTCTTCGTCCACGTCCAATTGAAGTCCTTTTACTTTTTGTCGGTCTGCAACCGCAATTTGATTACGAGTCGGTCGCCCTCGTTTTCCAGCTCCTCCCGAGCTCTTTACTGAGCCACCTCGTGTTTTCGACTTTGGAGCCACGTAGTCATCGCTGGCATCCGAAAACTGTTCGCTACTTTCGACCGAACTTAAACTCCGCTCCCTGTTTCTCTTCAAAGGGGCTGGGGTTTTCTGGGCGGTTTGATTTTTAGCAGAGCCTCGTTTCTCATTTGCAGTTGGCTTCAAATCAGGAACCTCTTCCTTCGCTTCCCCGCTTGGCTGAGGCGGCAACTCTAAACTGACTTTTTCCCCCTTTTCAGATTGGATCGACTTTTTCAGAACGTAGATGGACCTCATGATCTCACTGTTGGGCAAAATGATCCTGTCTTTTCCCAGACTGTCCACATTGACGTTAGTCAGAATACATCCCTTGTCTATTCTGTCAGGGAAAGACCATTTATACTGGTTGGGACTCTTTTCAATTTCTAACCAGCGAATGGAAACATTCGACTTTGTATTTGGATACACATTTTGACACAAAAGACACAAGTAGAAGTTTTCGCCTTGCAGATCAGATCTCACCGTGCAGTAATCTCCTTTGTCAAAAAGAGTTTCTTTAGCATTTGAGGATGATGCAGTAGGTGATTTTTTTGGTCGAGTCTTCGCAGGTGCGCTTTTAGCCGACGGCTGCGCCGGCTGAGGAATTACCTCTGGTTCCACTTCTTCCAGATCCTCGAATTCAAAATGACGCACTGGAACCCTGGCTCTTTTAGATCTGGACGCTGCTAGTGTCTCAGAAGGCGCTGATTTGGGCCCTGTTTTCAAACTCCCTCCTCCTCTACTAGAACTGTTGCGAGTATTCACAGAAGAACTTGAACTGGTTGATGACGTGTCTACTGAGATTGGCTTCAACACTGGCTTCGTCAAAACTGGCTTCGAAACATCTGCTTTGGGTTCCGAAACAGACGGCTCTTCATCTATCGTCAAAACTTCCTCATTGCCCGAATTAGACCTTGTCAAAGGCGACTTGGCTTCTGTGCTTATAGCAGAAGCTCTTCTATTGCTGTTCTGTCCACTGTCAGACGCAAGAAGTTTGGTAATTTCAGAAGCCTCGCTTGCTATTTTAAGCGAGCTCTCCACTCCAAGCTTGCTGAGATTTTGTTCTTTCGCTTCAACCGAGATGACTGAGCTAACTGGAGTTGACACATGGTTGGAAGCGTCGCCATTAGTCTCCATATTCACTTCAGACACTGGAATCTTTTCAACTTCCGCTTTTTTAGTCTCATTTTTTGTCTCTGCATTTTTTGCAGCATCTCCTTCGACAGGAGCAGCTAAACTGTTCTCCTCAGCAGAATTGGCAGCTGATCCGTTGCAATCACCCGAATCAGTCATTATTGTAACGCCGTTTTTCAATTACATTGCAGATTCTGAAAACAATTACAAATGCTAGAAGTAAGATAAAAAATGCATAAAGAGACAATTTCCATCCTAGGAAGAAGAATCGGCCGGCAGAAAAAATGAGGTCAACAGGAAATTTGGATTGGAAAAATTTAAACTCAACTATAACACACTAATTACGAGGTTCTTGTTTAATTAAGAGTAGCTGGTTGCCGGACAAGTTGTAGAGATAACTCCGGACACATCCGTAAAAACCTTTAAAAAATATATATTTTTTCTAATTTGCGCCGTTTTTAAGGGTGGTGTAATGAGAGGAAAAACGAAAACTATACTTTAAACTATACTTTTCACGGCTTAAATGAAAACTTTTTTTTAAAACTACCTTTGATTTAACGAGACGTTCAACAAGCAATTTTTATGAACCTAGACTCACTTTGTTTTGATCATGATGCAAGCATAGCCAATTCAATTGTTTAATTTGACTTTCATAAATCTTTTGACACTGTTTCTGAGAAACATTGAAAATATGTAGAAATTTTTAGTCAGATGAGTTCTTACTTTTAATGAAGAGCGCAACGAGTTACAACCGATGACACACTATCTGAGCCTGGTGTCGTTGTTACCAAAATCGTACCGCAGGGCAGTGTTCTTCTTCCCAAAACTTTTATCAAAAATTACGTTTTAAATTTTTACACAGAGGCGAAGCTGAGCTTCGCCCACTTGCGATACATAAAGCTACGAAATTGCGAAAATTGAAAAAACGCCGAACAACAACACCCGAAATTCTGATGAAAACCTGTGGGTGAACACAGCAACCAGCATTAAATTAGCATAAAAAATAACGGAGCGGTAACTATGCAGACAAAACCAGGAAAATTTTCAATCTAAAACTTCCGAACATACCTTATCAAAGTTGAATTAAATTTAAAAAAAAACGACTGAAAACAAATTCAAAAAAAAACAAGGCAAATAGGCCGACAGAATTAAAGCCAACACTTAATAAGCTGGAAAACAGTCAAAAAACTTTCAATAAAAAATCATAAAAATATTTGCATCTGCCCGCTACAAAGCAAGCCCTATACAGGCAAAATAAGTACGCTGCATATACTGCATATTTGTAAGTTTACCAATTCAAACTTCTTTCTAAATATTTATCATTCTGTGACCTAAGTTAATTAAAGGAAAAAAGGAGTGGTGCTCGGTTACAAAACCCTTGCTTTTCGCAAGGGTTTAAAATGTTAGGCAAATAAGCCGACAGAATTAAAACCGACACTTAATAAACTGAAAAACAGCCGAAATATTTTCAGTAAAAAATCATTAGGAGATTTGCATCTACCCGCTACAATGCAAGCCCTATACAGGCAAAACAACTACGCTGCATATACTGCATTATTGTAAACTTAACACTTCAAACTTCTTCCTAAATCTTTAACATTATGTGTCTAACATTAGTAACCGGTTGCAATTCTCTTGCTTATCGCAAGTAATAAATTTTTTTAATTTTTTTTCAGATTTATCTGCTATCATAAAATTGAGCTTTATCCGGCATGTAAATTACATATTAAAAAATATCGGCCTCATATTTGGTTTGCAGAGGTCACCATCTTAATGAACGTGGAGAATTTCAGCAGTTTTTTAACGATGAATTAAATTTAAGCTGGATTATAGTAGTGAATCAAATTCAAATTCACCATTCTGCAAGATGCTGGACAGATTATATGACTCAGATATCACCGAGTTTTTTACCTTTCATAATGATTCGCTAGGAAGATTGACCTGTTTTGGAATGCAGTTCAACGAGAAATTTTTATGATTTTGATTACTTTTTCAATCGAGTTACGCCTGTAGTAAACTATTTAGTTTGCAAGAGAATTCTATCAGTTATTGGTATTCTAGCCACAACGAAGAAAAAGGATTTAAAATTAAGCTTGTCGAACTTTTGCAATTCGCGTATTTTAGTATAAGCAAAACAAAATACAACATATTTATTTTTTATCTTATTCAAATTCGTATAAACGCACAATTATTATTTCGAACATAAAATACAACCAAAATGGAACACAGTTGATTGAATGGGAAAACGATACACAAAAAGACCATGTCAAACCACAATCTTAACCATTTTTTATTGATAAACACACCACATGATTTTGCCCACTTTTGGCGTCAATGTTTTATTGCCCTTTATGAGCCAAGAAAAAACTGATTTGACAGAAGAAAATAGAATAAAGAACATGTGCAATATTATACATGTGATATAGAAATAAAAAAAAACGGAGTATTTTTTCATCGGCACTGTTTCAAATGACTCAAAAGTTGTTACACATTTTCCAGACGTACCAGATATGCCAATTTTACCCTTGCGCAATCAAATACCGCGTATTCCGAGAAAAATTGCATTCGATCTACTTTAGAGGAGAGATCGTCTTTCAGTTTCACGTCTCGGAACCGGACACCTCCCGGAATCGTTTGTTCCGATATCTCCACATGTTCTGATGTGCTATTCGAACAATAGATGCTGTCAACATTTGGGGGTTTAACAAACTCGTGGTAAGATGTTTTCTCCGGTTGATGCATCATGCGGCCGAGGTTCACATGACATAATACCATATACAATGACTCTTTTATTGGGACTGCTTTCTTTAATGCTTCAAGAGAGCAGTCTGTAAATTGAGCAGAGGGTTCATTCAACCGAAAGGGTTCCTGGGCGACTATGCGGGTAACTCCTTCGGTTAACAGAGACATCACATTTCGGTGTCTCATTGGATACCATAACAGCATGTGATTCTTATACTGCTCCAAGTCCGATTGCTCTTTTTCCTTTTCATTTTCTACAATAAGCGACTTTGATTGCGTACTATTGACAGCAAATACTTGTTTCATTCTGTGAGTTTTAGATACTTTGTTCACACATTGGTTCAACATTTCAACCACTACATCTTCCTGAGGAAGGGGCACAATTTGAAGAGATAAGTTCTTCAGTACAAAATCAACAGGATGTATTTTCTCACTTTGCATTTTGGCCATGCTCGATAACAAGACTTGAGAATATTTGTGGAAGTTTCGAATTGACTCAATGATCACTGCAAGCAACTTGATTCCCTTCTTTGTATAAAACGGCTGAAAACTACATGGGTCAAAGGAAACAGGCAGGCTGTAGTATATTTCATTAGATAAAGTGTTCATTTTGTGCGAAGTTGTCAACACTTGAGACCAGTTGGGGCTTTTCAGTGATAGCTGCACTTCAAGTTCATCAACTAGACTCTGCATTGAACTCATTTCATTTTTCAACTTATCAATTATCCCATCTGAAGTTGAGCAGAGTTCAAATCGAAAGTCGGCGAAGTCAGAATCAGACGTTGATAAAAAGTCCAAACTCAAAACCGTCTGTGACAAGACTTCTTCAATCAGTTGAAAGATGACCGGTTTTGACTTCTCAATTTCAGACTCAGCCGTTACAGTAGCCAGAGCCGAAAGTTCATCTGAGATAGGCTCAACGCTTACTTTTCTACAATAATCACTTTTCAGTACAGTGTATTTCCTCGGTTTCAGCACGAACTTCTGTTCCCTGTAAGCGTCCCACAAATTGTCCGTCTTCGTTTTGAACAGTCTTGAAAACTCCTTCTTTGCCTGCTCTAAGCTTTGAATCAATTGACTCTGCACTTGAGTCGGTTCCTGTTTGCCGACTAAGCCCGAATTTATATGCAAATAGTAGCCATTCCTGCTCGGAGCATGCACCAGTTGCATTTTGTAGAAGTAGAAAGAAACCACGCGAGGGTTTGGGGCTTCTCCCGTCTCCACTCGGATGAGTCGCGCGTCCATCGGCAACCCGTTGTCGACCACAACCTCCGCTTTGCATCCCACACTTGCGACGACGTGTTTATCGATTTCGGCTACAAAGTCTTGTCGGCTAAATGTTGTCTTAAATTTCTCAAACATATCAGCACTGATAGCTGCGAAGTCAACGGGCGACTCATTGATGGCCAATGGATCCTTCATTTCTACTTTAGGTAGCTCGGGTGGCTTCAAATCTTTCGGCACCATGCATCGGTTTCCAATTCTCATTCTATCTGCCAGTTTGTAGAACTTGTTGTCAAGAGCTAGTTGATAAGCCGTTTTCGAAAAACCATCTGAGACTTCGTTGAAGTTAACGCCATTCAAAATTAGACAATCAACAATATCAACATTTTCAACTCCTAAATTGATCGCAGCTTGGACTGCGCAATGAGCTACACACTGACCTTGAGAGTCTACAGTTGCCAAATCAATTTTAGAGCAAATCTTCGTTTCCAAGTTCCCAGCTGATGCCGAATTCTTTTCTAGGAGACAGTTCACCTTGTCCAGATTTCCAGACGCTACTGCATGCATAATTGGGCTCTTCTTGTTTTCATCGCATTTGTTCAAAACGAAAGATCCGGTGCTGACCAAAAATTTCAGCACTGAGCAGTCTTCAATTTTCTGAATGGAATAAATCAACGGTGTGCAAAGGCTTATTTCAGAGTCCGAGTTGTAAGCCTCATACACTGTTTTGCTAACATCTCTTACAGGTCCAAATCGAATCATTATGTCGGTTAACTTGGACGTGGAAAACTTCTCGTAGCAGAGTTTGACCGTCTCCAAGTCACCCGACATCAGGGCGGCTGCCAAAACAGTTCTACTGAAATCATCTTTTGCGAAAGCTACTTTTTCACAGTCCAACTTTTCCAGCAGAGATTTAAGCAACAAGACATTTGCCGAGTAGGCGGCGTAATGAAAGCACAACACATTGTTCGGTTTGTCTTCATTTAGCACTTTAACCGACTTGGCGTACAGTTGCTCTATCAAATCCGAAGTCTGGTTCGCACTTGAGGACTGGAAATAAGCGAGAGACATGTCGTGGAACTGAGTCAAACCAGTGTCTGCTGCGGGAACCAGAGACTCAGGGTGCATGTTGTTGAGAAAAACGGCAGCTGCTTTCATTTGACCACTCCTGATGATTTGAGAGAGAAAATAAGAGTTTGTAGCTGTCGCTGCAAACCTCTTAACGGCCAAGAAAAATAATCTCCACATGTTGAAATGAGCGATGAGACTGAAAGCGGAAATCTTTCTCAGTCCACACTCAGATTTAGATAGCGAAGGAACCACATCTGGATTGCTATCCAGTGAAGTCGGAATGTAGGCATACAGCATAGTCAGGTCCAAATTCAAGTCGCTATTCAGAATGCCAATTGCACAGTCTTCCTTTCTGTTGATTAACGCGTAACAGAGAACAGTATTTCCATGCACGTCCGGAGGGTGGGCGATGTCAAGATCTTTGATCACCTGGCCACACAATGAAGACCCTTTACCGGCTATATAGTGCATAACTGTGCATCCGTTTCTATCCATGGGTGCGAAACTGGCACTGGAGTTCTCCAGAAACAGGAGCAGAAGTTCCAGAGGGTCGAATGTGGTCGAGGATAGTGCTGATTCATTCTCGTCTTCCCGATTGCAGGAAAAGAGAACATGCAATGGAGTTTTTCCTTCTGAGTTTTGAATCAGAGCCGAACATCCTGCTTTCAGGAGCATCTTACAACTGTCAACAGTCAGCGCCAAATTCAGTCTTACCGCATAATGCAGCACTGATTCGCCTTCTTTGTCAACAATATTCAGATCAGGTACTTTGGCTATTAACTTTTCGAGGCACATCAAACCTTTAGCTGTTTGAATGTTCTCAACAAGAACGTGCAAAACAGATTTTTGAAGTCTTTCAGTCCGAATGTTTAGATCGACTGATTTAGTTAGAAGCAATTCAAGAATGTCCACGTTTTCAATTCGACACGCCATCATAACAGGTGTCATATCATCAAAATTTGACCCTAGTTTCGAATTCTTGGACACCTGCATGTTGAGATCAGCTGTATGAGTAGCTACCAATTCAACCACAGATAGAGGACAGTTGTGAGCAAGAGCAACGTGCAAAGCGTTCACTCCATCCAACTTCTCATTCGGACTAACATCATTCTCAAGGAGTGTTTTCACCAATGAAGTTGATTGCTTCAAGGAGCCAAGAGAAGATATCTCACACGCCCGTTGCAGCGCGTCAAGACCGTCCTTTCCTATCAAAATGTTGCATTTTGAGAATGTCACTAAATATTGAATCAAAGTTTTCAGACCCTGTTCAAATTTTTCAAAGTTTTCAGCATTCGCTTTCAGACAATTCAGAAATTCTCCCAAGGGAGTACGCCCATTATTAGCAACCTGTTTCGAAAAATCTTCGTTCGCGCAAAGATTTGAAGGAATCTTCAAGAGCAGCTCCTCGACATTCGCAACACACGCATGCTGCATAATTAGGTGCAAAACATTAGTCCCATTTTCCAATTCAGCTCCAGAGAGGAAAGTTCTGGAATTTTCCAGAAACAATTTAGCCAGAGGAACGTTTCCAGAGGAAAGAGCAAAAGACAAAGGCGGATCCACGAAAGGCGAGTAAGAAGACATATTCAAATCAGCGCCACCTTCCAAAATCAGTTTCGCAATATCGACAGTAACGGATTTTTCTTCATTATTCAATTCACTTTTCTGTGCTATCAGATGTAGGGCACTTAAGTTACTAGAATCCAGTAGCTTACAATTTGGTTTAACTGCCAATTTGATGAGAAAGGCGACCGTCTCTTTTATTATGCGCACATTCTTTTCACTGGCACAAACCACTTGAAGGATTGTTCGACTGAATGGCGCACATTTTGCATTGATGTCCACTTCTTTCGAGTAGAGAAGCCGAGTGGCGAGGGCGAAGTTGCCCTTTAGGACAGACGCGAACATGGCATTCAGTCCATCGTGATTGACAGGTAAACTAAGAGACAGACCGATGTCTATTAGCAACATCAGACAATGCGACCAGCCATAGCAAGAGGCGTAGTGTACTAGCGAGTTACCATTCACATCCACAATGGTAGGGTTGGCCCCACTACAAATCAACAGACTCGCTATATTTTGGAACCCATTAATTATAGCATGTGACAACGCACTTCTGCCCACTGAGTCTTGCAAATTAACATCACTTTTCCTGCTCACTAACAACTCACAACATTTAAAATGGCCTGCAGAAGCTGCTAACATCAGTGCAGTTAAGAGTCCATGTTTGGAGCCTGTCGTAATATCAGTGTCAAAGCATAGAGGTAAGAGTATCTCTAAAACTTCCAAACTACCTGACTCGGCTGCTAAATGAACACACGTCTTCCCGTCCAAATTCGCACTCTCAATCAGCTTTTGCTGCTGCATGGAGTCCGTCACATTCAACAATGTCTGCACGTTCTTCACTCTGTTCGTCTTGCAAGCCACCATCAAAGGAGTTAGGTCTTCAGTCCGTGTTACGTAATAGTTCAAACTTGAACCGACACTATTACATAACAAGTCTAGATTGGTTGCACTTTTGCAGACTGCAGCATAATGGAACGGATACCAACCTTGTTCATCAGTGTGATAAACAAAACTAGGGTATTTTTCTAGAATTTTTGCGAAATAGATACTATTACTAGAAGCAGCTGCCGCATGGATAACATTGAAACTGAGACTTGAACATGTGAAACCTTCAGAAGCTAAGACTGATTCTAGATTCGATTCCGTAAACTCTTCCAACACTCGCACAACTTGGTCATTACTGGCCGAATTTCCTATTTTTAATACATGAAGTGCAGTTTTGTGATTCCCGTTTTTGAGGGCAACGTGAGCAAACTTGTGCAGGGAACTGACGTGGCCTTTTGAGACCAAAAAGTCAATGACGTTGAACGGTTCCGGTTCCATCTTCATGAGATCTTCGAAAAATGAATCGCTAGGGAACTGTCTCTGCTTCAGAAACAGGTCTTCACTCAAGAAGTCATCATCGTCCAACAAACAACTCTTCCAGGGCTTCGTTTTATTGATTTCCGCATTTTTGTCCATTAGTAGGACTAAACTGGTGACGTCATCATTAAGAGCGGCAGTTTCAAAGGGCCCTTCTCTGCAATCTTTACTCCTTCCACAACATGCAGAATCTATTTTCGGGTCGGCCAGGAACTTCTTCAGCACATCCATATCTCCAAAAGAGACCAATCGAATCAGCTGTTTAGCCTTGAAGTTACTGTCTCCTACATCGAACACATACTTGCTGTCGTAGAAGAGGTCATTCGGGTTCACTTTGATTCTGGCCGCAAAGTTTTCTCGTGCACTTCTGATCGGACTTTTAATCGGCGACAGTGTTTTCTCCAACTCCTGCCCAGAACTGCCTGGACTTTGCGCTTTCGTCGGCGTACTCCGACAGGCTCCGCCGCGCGTCTTTCTCTCCACACTAGGACTGAACTCTTCGTCCACGTCCAATTGAAGTCCTTTTACTTTTTGTCGGTCTGCAACCGCAATTTGATTACGAGTCGGTCGCCCTCGTTTTCCAGCTCCTCCCGAGCTCTTTACTGAGCCACCTCGTGTTTTCGACTTTGGAGCCACGTAGTCATCGCTGGCATCCGAAAACTGTTCGCTACTTTCGACCGAACTTAAACTCCGCTCCCTGTTTCTCTTCAAAGGGGCTGGGGTTTTCTGGGCGGTTTGATTTTTAGCAGAGCCTCGTTTCTCATTTGCAGTTGGCTTCAAATCAGGAACCTCTTCCTTCGCTTCCCCGCTTGGCTGAGGCGGCAACTCTAAACTGACTTTTTCCCCCTTTTCAGATTGGATCGACTTTTTCAGAACGTAGATGGACCTCATGATCTCACTGTTGGGCAAAATGATCCTGTCTTTTCCCAGACTGTCCACATTGACGTTAGTCAGAATACATCCCTTGTCTATTCTGTCAGGGAAAGACCATTTATACTGGTTGGGACTCTTTTCAATTTCTAACCAGCGAATGGAAACATTCGACTTTGTATTTGGATACACATTTTGACACAAAAGACACAAGTAGAAGTTTTCGCCTTGCAGATCAGATCTCACCGTGCAGTAATCTCCTTTGTCAAAAAGAGTTTCTTTAGCATTTGAGGATGATGCAGTAGGTGATTTTTTTGGTCGAGTCTTCGCAGGTGCGCTTTTAGCCGACGGCTGCGCCGGCTGAGGAATTACCTCTGGTTCCACTTCTTCCAGATCCTCGAATTCAAAATGACGCACTGGAACCCTGGCTCTTTTAGATCTGGACGCTGCTAGTGTCTCAGAAGGCGCTGATTTGGGCCCTGTTTTCAAACTCCCTCCTCCTCTACTAGAACTGTTGCGAGTATTCACAGAAGAACTTGAACTGGTTGATGACGTGTCTACTGAGATTGGCTTCAACACTGGCTTCGTCAAAACTGGCTTCGAAACATCTGCTTTGGGTTCCGAAACAGACGGCTCTTCATCTATCGTCAAAACTTCCTCATTGCCCGAATTAGACCTTGTCAAAGGCGACTTGGCTTCTGTGCTTATAGCAGAAGCTCTTCTATTGCTGTTCTGTCCACTGTCAGACGCAAGAAGTTTGGTAATTTCAGAAGCCTCGCTTGCTATTTTAAGCGAGCTCTCCACTCCAAGCTTGCTGAGATTTTGTTCTTTCGCTTCAACCGAGATGACTGAGCTAACTGGAGTTGACACATGGTTGGAAGCGTCGCCATTAGTCTCCATATTCACTTCAGACACTGGAATCTTTTCAACTTCCGCTTTTTTAGTCTCATTTTTTGTCTCTGCATTTTTTGCAGCATCTCCTTCGACAGGAGCAGCTAAACTGTTCTCCTCAGCAGAATTGGCAGCTGATCCGTTGCAATCACCCGAATCAGTCATTATTGTAACGCCGTTTTTCAATTACATTGCAGATTCTGAAAACAATTACAAATGCTAGAAGTAAGATAAAAAATGCATAAAGAGACAATTTCCATCCTAGGAAGAAGAATCGGCCGGCAGAAAAAATGAGGTCAACAGGAAATTTGGATTGGAAAAATTTAAACTCAACTATAACACACTAATTACGAGGTTCTTGTTTAATTAAGAGTAGCTGGTTGCCGGACAAGTTGTAGAGATAACTCCGGACACATCCGTAAAAACCTTTAAAAAATATATATTTTTTCTAATTTGCGCCGTTTTTAAGGGTGGTGTAATGAGAGGAAAAACGAAAACTATACTTTAAACTATACTTTTCACGGCTTAAATGAAAACTTTTTTTTAAAACTACCTTTGATTTAACGAGACGTTCAACAAGCAATTTTTATGAACCTAGACTCACTTTGTTTTGATCATGATGCAAGCATAGCCAATTCAATTGTTTAATTTGACTTTCATAAATCTTTTGACACTGTTTCTGAGAAACATTGAAAATATGTAGAAATTTTTAGTCAGATGAGTTCTTACTTTTAATGAAGAGCGCAACGAGTTACAACCGATGACACACTATCTGAGCCTGGTGTCGTTGTTACCAAAATCGTACCGCAGGGCAGTGTTCTTCTTCCCAAAACTTTTATCAAAAATTACGTTTTAAATTTTTACACAGAGGCGAAGCTGAGCTTCGCCCACTTGCGATACATAAAGCTACGAAATTGCGAAAATTGAAAAAACGCCGAACAACAACACCCGAAATTCTGATGAAAACCTGTGGGTGAACACAGCAACCAGCATTAAATTAGCATAAAAAATAACGGAGCGGTAACTATGCAGACAAAACCAGGAAAATTTTCAATCTAAAACTTCCGAACATACCTTATCAAAGTTGAATTAAATTTAAAAAAAACGACTGAAAACAAATTCAAAAAAAAACAAGGCAAATAGGCCGACAGAATTAAAGCCAACACTTAATAAGCTGGAAAACAGTCAAAAAACTTTCAATAAAAAATCATAAAAATATTTGCATCTGCCCGCTACAAAGCAAGCCCTATACAGGCAAAATAAGTACGCTGCATATACTGCATATTTGTAAGTTTACCAATTCAAACTTCTTTCTAAATATTTATCATTCTGTGACCTAAGTTAATTAAAGGAAAAAAGGAGTGGTGCTCGGTTACAAAACCCTTGCTTTTCGCAAGGGTTTAAAATGTTAGGCAAATAAGCCGACAGAATTAAAACCGACACTTAATAAACTGAAAAACAGCCGAAATATTTTCAGTAAAAAATCATTAGGAGATTTGCATCTACCCGCTACAATGCAAGCCCTATACAGGCAAAACAACTACGCTGCATATACTGCATTATTGTAAACTTAACACTTCAAACTTCTTCCTAAATCTTTAACATTATGTGTCTAACATTAGTAACCGGTTGCAATTCTCTTGCTTATCGCAAGTAATAAATTTTTTTAATTTTTTTTCAGATTTATCTGCTATCATAAAATTGAGCTTTATCCGGCATGTAAATTACATATTAAAAAATATCGGCCTCATATTTGGTTTGCAGAGGTCACCATCTTAATGAACGTGGAGAATTTCAGCAGTTTTTTAACGATGAATTAAATTTAAGCTGGATTATAGTAGTGAATCAAATTCAAATTCACCATTCTGCAAGATGCTGGACAGATTATATGACTCAGATATCACCGAGTTTTTTTACCTTTCATAATGATTCGCTAGGAAGATTGACCTGTTTTGGAATGCAGTTCAACGAGAAATTTTTATGATTTTGATTACTTTTTCAATCGAGTTACGCCTGTAGTAAACTATTTAGTTTGCAAGAGAATTCTATCAGTTATTGGTATTCTAGCCACAACGAAGAAAAAGGATTTAAAATTAAGCTTGTCGAACTTTTGCAATTCGCGTATTTTATGCAGATATACAATGTGCAGAAGTTAGTTTTCTAGCCGAACTCTAGTCAATCTCTTTGTACAGCTAGTTTAAATTCTTGGTTATTTCATTGCTAGCTACTCAATTAAATGATTTAAGCCTTTCTCTCTTTTTCTCTCTTTTTTTTCTCTCTCTTTCTCTCTCAGTATCGTTCGAATTGCGACTGTGAGGGCTTCGATAAAATAAATCATTCGATGTATTCCGATGAATATTTACGGTACTTGATTTGAGGTGGAAAACATAAACATAGCCAAGACACAGTTGGAAAAGAGTCAACGAACGCAAAGACAGAAAAAACTTGACTTTATTGGAAAAAAATTCATTTATCGAATTTCAAAATAAAAAATACATGTCCTTAGGACTATTTAAATTTCAAGACGAATAACTTATGAAAGTTTTTTGAATAAATCAACTCAATTTGAGAAAACTCGATCAGTAGATAACATTGTTACTCTGCTGGTTAATCTAACAAGGAAACTTTGTTAGGAACGAGAAATCGATCATGCTTTTCCGCGCCTTTTCCTTTTTTATAATTGGAGAGCCAATTTTCAATTTAATTTCCTTTTAGCAAACGAGAATAAATTGAAGTCAGATGTGCATATACACTGACGAATGCACTTCTGTAGTTAATAGAGCATTTCAAGAATTTTCCTGAAAAAAAATCATCACGACGTTTATAGGAGTCTGGATTAAGTTCAACTAAAAAAAAACAGAAAAATAAAGCGATACGATACGGTCCATAGCCTCTAGGGATATTTCGAAAAACTAACACAAAATCTGCATTTTAATAGATCATTACGAAGTATCCAAATATCACTACTCGCAAAACTAGCAATCATGTAGTTATGGTAGTATTTCAAATCACGACTGAAACGACTTTCTTAAAATATATCACTTGATCCATTCCGATGATTATTTGTAGTACCTGATTTTGCATCGGAAAAAGTTTAAAACAAAATTAGTAAAAACAGACAAATTATAACACATCCGAAGACATATTTCTTTTCTACTTTCAGCGGTAGGAATATCAACTAAAATAAAAACCTTAGATTGAACTCGAATTTCTTTAAATCATCACCTCTAAATGGCTAGTCAAATATGACCTCTTAAAAGCTTGCACGTTGACAGGATTTTATAAGGTGATTACATATTTAAAATTGAAATTTTATTCTCTGTACCATCCGATTCGATTGTACAGAGAATAAAATCCAGGTGACAATCACTTCCGAAAAAAAACAGAAAGTTTCCCAAGATTGTACCGGCTCAGGTACAGGTTCTTAACACGCTCTTATTTACCGTGAAGCATAAATTTCGGTCGATTTACAACAATCTAATATAGTTTGAAACCATTACAGACAGCGAAAAATAAACTGAAAAAGTTTATTTTAGTATGAAAAACGAATTTTGTTTCACAAAAATTCATTTTACTGGTTGTCTTAAGGCATCTCTTGAATTTGATCGATCGGTGTTTTTTCAAATCATTTCGTGATTCGTCCTTAGCAACCATCTATTCGTTAGTATCAGTCGGATTGGTGAACATCAGCCTGGTTGGATGGATTAATTCTTCAATTCGAGTCATCGTCTCTTTTTCAGTTCCATATCATTTTTTTGCAGAAAAAAATGTTCAAAAGTCTTCTTAAAATGACTTTCTCTATTTGCAGCTCAAATGAATTTTGCAATATTAAATATGCAAAACACCGTATGAACAATTTTTAGACAACTTTTAACTTTAAATTGGCAAGGTGGTTGGGTGAAGAGCCGAGTGATGATCTATCTCTTCTTCAGTTCAGTTGTCGTCGTCATCTGGGAAGTTCTCCTCTGCATGTCTCATCTGGTCATGGATCTCCTTCACACTCAAGTGCAGACTGTGCAGTGCCTTACTCATAGTCTCAAACTCACTCGCATTGAAGCCTTCTTTGCCCTCCTCAGGTCCCCCGGCACGCCCCTCCCCCCGATCACACCTAGCACAATCAGCCTCCTCTTTCTCAGTACCATCAAGTTCAACGAGCAACATAGACTCTGTCATAAGGATAGGAAGCCTATTGGGTAGTCAAAAACTCGACAAAAGAAATCGGCAGTGAAAACTTTCATGGCCAGTAGATATCAACTTCTCAGTTGATTAGTTAAAACTGTTCACTTTCAAGTTACTGATTAAAAAATGCGATAGAAACTAGGGACCCACAAGAAACGACTAGATAAAAAAAGAAGCAACTAGACGTTCCAAAAATTTAAGATATCCGGCTGCTTTTAGAACTTGAATCTGCAAATGACAATTAATTCCACAAATTACTAGCTAAGAAGTAAGGATCATGTCGCACCGGAAGTGGAGAGCACAGATGGCTTCTTGAGTCTTCCTCAGTTTCTCCAACTTGGGCAGTGCAGCCGCGAAAGCCCTGTTCCTCGGGAGTCCCTCGCACACTGCACTAAGCACTGGCTGTAGAGTGGCCTTCACACTCTGCAGCAGAGGGGTGGGGGACCTGGACAAGGACACTATTTCACATAACATTGCACCCCCACACGCCTTCAGGCAGAAGCACATAGCTAGCTCCTTCAAACTTCATCAATTTGTAGATTAAAAGCCAATTTACAGTGGCAGTGATTTCTACATGAGGATGCGGCGAAATGGCTTCTCGCGTACCATTTGGGAACAGTTCAAAATAAAACTAAAGTCCAAGTTTCTAACTGACTTTTAGGCTTGATGAACGTGTATGGCTCGTGTAACGCTCCTCCATCGGTGAGTTTTCCCAACTAAAGTAAACGTAAACAGGCACAATGGTTTTTTCCTTTTCGGTTATATGAAAAAGGGGAAGAGTCGAGTGAAAAGAGTCGGTAAAGAGCCATATAAGTTTATCAAACCTAACAATCAGTTCGAAGGCCATACGAGGCTACATTACTAATGGGGCTATAGTGTGAAAGAGTGTCTGGACCTAGTGACGGCGTCTGCTCCAATATTAGCCAGTGGCATCAGAGACTGGAACACACTTCCAGAATTTGCTCCCTTCTTTCCCTTGGGCGGCTGGAAACTGACTATTCAATCAGGAAAGACACTCGTTTCAAATTGGGGACCCCAAAGCACTTCAGAGCTATTCAAATCACCTTTCTAAGGCAAAAACTTTTTAAAAGTAAATTGTAAAAGATCTCGTGTATACTAAGCGAGTGCCTTTCAAGTCTGTTTTCGTTCTCCTGTTGGGGGCCATAGAGTGGCTCTTGCTCACTCTCTGTCGCTCTTTATCTTCTCTCCCTCTCCCTCTCGTTCCACCTATGCCCGTGGTGTACCTTAGGGTGATCGGAAAGGGCGGTCATCACTATTTTAAGTAAAAAATTAGCGCGAAATTTTGATGCGCACAGACATCGGACAAATTTACAGAGGCAAAGCTGCGCTTCGTATCAATGGCGAACCAGAAGAAATGAACGTTATCGATATTTAAGAAAAATTGGAGAACTCTCAACAAAAACCTATCATCTAAAACTGTTATGCTTCAAAAACATAACTGCTCAAGGATAACCGCTGCTGTTCAAGTGGCCAGAATGTTCCGACCAAACTAAAAAGAAAAAACTAAAAATGACAAAATAAAAACGAAGAGAAACTTTTCATAGCAATTTTTGTGTAATTTCCCTTTGGCTAAAAAAAGGCTTTAAATTAGGACAAAATGCAACAAATAGCAGAGAAATTTTTTGAAAATTGCTTTAGATTAAAAAATCATGACCAAAAGGGCTTTGTTAAGATAACACATGTGACACCCTAAGAGCTTTCTTTGAGTTGGTCAGATTTGTCATGAAAAAAAAAAACGACCCGAAGCCAACATATCTTTCCACACTTCAAGTGGTAAGAACAAGAACAAACATGTCAAGAAACTGTTCAAATAAACAAAAATAAAGATTACATTGACATTTCTTTCAAAACATGATAAGCAGATAAAATGACACTGAATGTTCCGATCACATTCAGTAAAAAAACTACTAAAAATCGGTTTTTCTCTTTTTCTTCAAACTAGTCTCGTTTCTTGTGCGTGCTCGCTATCTGGTTTTGCGTGCATAACAAAAAAAACGAAGAGCAAGAACTGAAACAAAGCACAATACAAAGTGCCTCCCCATTATTCAATGGTCGGAACAAAAATCACACAATGATAAATAGATTTATCAAAAAAAAAGTTTTAACTTACCTCATCTTTTTATTATCGAGCTGCTGAAAAGTCCAATCAATTATTTTTAAAACCGAATTGGGATCAAGTTCGAAAAGAATCTAGCATAAAATATTGCCAAAAACAATACAGCAATTTAACTGAAAAAATAGCTGTAAATCAAAAATCAATTTTTGTATAAAAAAGTTTCAATTAATTCTTAGAAATTACCTTCAAAGATGATAAAATCTACACTACTTCCATTAGCTTCTGGCATCAAACTTTGAACCAGCAAAAACAAACGTAGCCAACAGACAGCAAATAATAGATGACTGTAAAGTTCTTTGAAATCGAAATCAGCTCAGAGTCACAAAGCCAAACAAAATCCGACTAACGTACACTAGAGAAATTGCAAGAACCGATATACGTATTTTGCAAAAATCTTATGGCACAAAAAAAAACAATGCCACTCAGTCTACGCTAAGCGACCTATACCAATCAAGCAAGTTTTTGAAATGATTCATTTCTTTTGTTTTATTAGTAGTTTGTTAAAAGGGCAAAGTTTACTTTGATAGCGCTTGCTAGTGGGCGTAGCTAAGATGTTATAAACTGAAACTTCTTATCACAGAGCATCCAGAAATACTTTCGAAGATTCACATAAAGACAGTCAACAGACATTTTGAAAAGTCTCAATGAAAAACTTTTTTGAACATCATTTAACTTGCAAACTTCGAAGAAAAAATATCGTGTTCAAGCTTTTTGAAATTTGAGAACTTTTCATGATTGACCGTTTTTCCTTTTACCTAAACCAAAAAATAGAAAACTTTATCGACAATTGATTTTTTTTTTCAAATATTAGTTACTAATGGTAGTCGATTAACTAAAGCTGCCTAAAAAAGTTAAATTAATTACTGGAAGAAAAACTCCCAATTTTCAAAAGACATTTTCCAGCAATTGTAAAAAAGGATACAGTTTCACCTTTCATTATCCCACCTCAAAATTACAACCGACAGGCTTCTACGTGACCGTTTAATTGTAGTAGTTTATTGCTTGGCTAGAAAAGTTAGTTTTTGGACCACCCTGCTGGTTGTTCTCAGGATGTGCAATGCTGACCTCCTGACTCCTCCATCTCCTCTCTTTCTTGTTTTCCTTCCTTCCTCCTCTCGCTCTATTATTCTGAGTCGGCATTCCACTAACTTCGATTTCAATGACTTTTAACCAATCAAAATCGTAATTAACGCTTTCCGTGTTATGCAGTAAAGTCAAAAAGTGTCTTCAGTTACTTTGTGCAGGCATTACGCAATTCGAGTTGGGCAAATTAAGCCCGATGCATCGAATATCGGATTAATATAAGTAAGAAGGATAAACATTAATTTATCAGCAGAAGCTCAAGGATAAAACCATAGTCATTCGGAAAAAAGGACTTACAGACACACTTTAGCACGGCCACACAGCCAAAAAAAATTGACAATAGACTAACAATTAACAAAATCTACACAAATTAGATTAAATTTCTTTCTTTTTTATAAATGATCTAAAAAATGCACACTAAATTTTGTAAAAAAAAATTATCGCCAAAAAGATCTTCGTCGCATTGCACCCGTTGCACTGACTTGGTTTAGATTATTCAATTTGCTTCTTCTTATTCTTCTTAGTCTTTTCTGCTATCTGAACTTGTTGGACGCCCTGCTCCCACTCTGCTGTTCAGTGGTGTCCGGGTGTTGGTGTGGATGTAGGTTCTTGATGGCGTCGTTGAGTGCAGTGAGTCTACCGGAGAGATTGTCGAAGTGTCTGAACTGGTCGTCTGCTGTGGAACTGTGTCCGTCCACGGTCACTGTCTTGTCCAGAGACTTCTCCATCTCAAAGTGCGCTATGCACAGACTCTGCTGACAGTTTCTCACCTGCAACAGAAAAGCGAGTGAGTCACTGCTGTTCGCTCCATTCGCTCAAATGAAACCGAACTTCATTGATACTTTAAAACAGTATTAAAACCTGCCCATTACTTTTCCAAAAAACCAATTTCACATTATCATTCTTTTATGTATGCGTTATTGCATATTACCCATTTTCTGGTAACCCGTTCAGCCAAAAGCGCTCATACCTAGTGTAGTAAAGAATATATTTATGTTGAGCTCAGTGTTGTCCATGAGCTTTAAAATATTGCTCCATTACTTGAAGAAAAAACAAATTATTAAATTTCCAGCGGCCACAAAACGATACTCAAATTGTTTGAACTACTGAAAATCTTGCAGATTTTGTTTATGAACTTGACTGTGCTATTATCGAGCATTGAAAACTTGAATGACTGGGCTTGATCTTTTATCTATCAAACTAACTCCTGTAGATTTGGTATATTATACAGAGTTTTTATAGCATTAAATTAATTAATAAAAGTGAATACCAAAATCATTTAGTCCAAAAAGCTTGAATAGAAACCAATATATTCCAACACGGTACCGTTGCTTTTTTCTGACCAAGTACTCGTACGGTCATCGTTCATTTAAAATCACAATGAACACAAGGATAGCCGGTTAGTGTGCAAGTTGCTCAGAATGTTCCGACCAGTCCTAAAAAAATATTTTTTCAAACTGGTGTCGTTTATTTTGGCGTGGTGTGATAAAAGAATCTGAGCGAAAAAGTAGAGCTTACACATTTTCGTCAGTCATTGCAAAATAAACAAATTAGAAAAACATTTTTTGAAGACAAGTAACAAGAAAAACAAAAAACCGAAAATACAAATTTCAAAAATCGAAAATACACACCCGAATACAAAGTTCCTCCCCATTTTCAAAAAGACTGAGCTAAAAAAGCTCTCACTTAAATTAAAAGTATGATTAAATAAACTATCAATTTTGTTAAGAAAAATACAAGTTAGAAAACGGAAATATTTATTTCTAGCAAAATAAAACGGATAGTTTTGTGCTGACCACTCAAAGCGTGGGGGAAAAACTAAAGCCTAGTAGTCCCAATTTTCAACGCAATTTTAGGTACTCCAAAAAACTCGTGGGCAATCCAATGTAGCATGATAAGTCAGCCCTTCGAGCAGTGACGCGAAATCCAAAAAGAATACCTAGTTTAAACTCAATGAACCTGTTCCATCTTCTGCAACATCTGCTGGAATCCGTCCTCTCTGTTGGGAGAGTGGAACTCACCGACCAGCTGGTCCAGTCTCAACTGGATGTTCTTCAGGCTCTTCATGTCCCCTCCTCCCCCTCCCGAAAAGGTGTGGCCATTCACGTGAGCGGAGGCAGAGTGATGCCCCCCTCCTCCCCCTACCCCGCCTCCACCACCCCCACCAACCCCTCCGTGCTCGCCCACATTCATTTCCAGCAGAAGTAAAACTGTCTACACTGGATTTGGAAAGAAAATTGCAACGAACAAAACGTAAATGTCCTTTGAGAGAGCGGTTTCGCCGTTTCTTCAGATAATAAGAAAAAGGTGAAAGATAGAATCAAGTAATGTTTGCAACATAAAATCTGAAAAAAAAAAAAATGAGATTGACCTAGAAAACAATTCAGTATAAGTATAAATTTGCCAAGCCTATAGCATTTTTTTTATTTATAATACCAAAAATCATCGGTACCAAGCTCGTTTAGTTCACTTCCAAACAGTGATGCAAGCAAAGTTGGAAAAAAGGGGAAACAAGAAGCTCCAGTAACTTCAGTCAGGAAGTCTTTCACTACAGGCCTTCACAATATACTTGACACGGACCTACTGGGGGAGCTGACGACAGCAGACAGCCAGTTAGGCCAACTAAGAAAACACATCTTAGCAAAAGACAGAGAAGGATTTTCGAGACTGGGCAGCTAGATGGCAAACTTTTGGGACGACGCCTCAGTAATTAACGATTGCATTATCATTGACAACAGAGTAGCAATTCCAACATGTCTGAGGAAAGCGGTAATGGCTCGATTGCACAGGACACACTCAGGACAGGAGGCAATGGTGGATGCGGCACAATATCTATGGTGGCCAAAATGCACAGGGAGATCATAGACTTGTGCCAATCCTGCAAATCATGCTCAGCGTATGGTAAGAACCTTAAAACGTCAAAATCATTCAATTCGGTAGAACCTTTGCCGGAATTATCGGGAGTGAATGAAGAATTACAAATGGATCTTGCTGGTCCCATGTTCGATTCTAAGGGGAAAAAAACTATTTATACTAGTCGCAATTGATCGGTTTTCGAAATACCCATCTGCCATGATCACCAGGAAGTCAGGGAGCGAGAAAATACTCAAATTTTTCAACAATTATATCCACCAACATAGTATACCAAAGAATTTAAGGACAAACCAATATTCGGGATTCAAAAACGCTAAGCTAGCAGAATTTTGTAAATCTAAGGAAATAAATCAAGTATTCTGTCCAGTAGGAGACCACCGAGGGTGTGGGTTGGTAGAAAGATGTATTCAGACGATAAAAAAAACTAGGCACAATGCAATTGGATCCAAAATTTGAAGATATACAATCAGCAGTCAAGTCGATATTGGAAGATATTCGGATAACGCGTCACAGCATTCTTAAGAAGTCACCATTCGAACTTCATTTTGGACGGAGACCGAATACAGAATGGTCTAACTTTAGGGATAAATTAATCTGTTCTTTGAATCTAGATCAACAGAAACTGGAGAGATCCCTACTGAGGCCGGAGGAAATGCGAGAATCGGCAGACTCAAGAACCAGACTGAAGGTGGTGAAGAAGGGAATGGTGAGCAGAGACGTGTCACCAACCCGTTGAAGAAAACAGAGGAAGAGCCAGATAGCATTAGGACATTAGAAAATCTGGCGAAGGCAGCATCTGACTGGAAATCGCGCAAAAGACACCTCACACACAAGGAGGGATCCGAGGCGCTGAGAAAACTGACAGAAAGAAATCCATTATTAGCAGCAAGCCTCAGAGGCGACTTGAACCAAGGGACTTGAACCGATTCAGAGTGGAACAGGAGACGCCAGCACAGAGAACAAAAACAAGTAATCTTGAGCTCGATCTTATTCACTACCCGGAGAAGGCAGTTGTATATCGGAAGATTTTAGACAGGAAATCGGGTCGACCTTTATTCAAACTGTTTAATGGGAAAATCGTTAAGGTTACTACCAAAACTTACATCACTGAAAATGGGAAAGTAATTAGAAAGAACCACATATCGCTTAAACCGAAATTCAAGACAGTATACTGTTCAGATTTAGGTACAAAGACACCGGCCGAAAGCACACCGAGGAAGCCATTTTACCAGTGCAGTTCAAGTAGACCAAATAGACCAGTACACATCTTGCCAAGACCAGATGTTTCGCCGGTTTCATCGTCGAACTCAGATGCAGAAAATAAAGAGGAGCCATTCGCGACATTGGACAGACTGCAAGCCAAGACGATTAAGTTATATTCCTCATTGACGAAGATAGCAAAGAAGAATCCGCCAACTCTAGCATCCAGATATGTACTACGAGAAGTTGCAAGCGGTGGAATAATCGACCTGACTATGTCCTCGAGTAGTTCTCCAGAGCACGAGGTGCAGGTGGTACAGCCGGTAGCAAATAAGCCAGACGCGTAAACGACAGAAGAATGCCCAATTTCCGTAGTACCAATCTCAGCAAAGGAGGTGCAAGGTACGAGCCAGGCGTTAGAGAGAATTGACTGTCCAATATCCTCAGTACCAATAACAGAGAAAATAAAACGCAAAGCAACTCAGAGGAAGGTCAGCAATGGACAGAAGCGGAGAAGATAATTACTTCACAGAGTAAGGAAGGAAAGACGGATGCGAAGATAGGGACAACTTCAGGAGTGGCGAAAAAGAGATAGGAGGAAACCAAAACAGTAGACAAAATGAGACCAGAGAAAAGGAAAGAGAAAAAGAGCGGTGAACGAGATAAAGACTCACAGGTCTCAAGCAATTCAAGGTCATCGGGCAGAAGTAAGCGGCAGACACAGTTCTTTGGAAGCCCACTAAAACATTCAGTCATGATTATAGAGGAGAAATCGGGACTACAAACGAGTCCAAAATCACTGGGAGATATTCCGTCGTCATCGGGAAATACACCGTCACCATCACCGAGGAGGAAACTAAGGAGACCAACGTTCGCGACTAATAAGCCGGAGCAAGTACAAGGAAAGAAAACTCTCTGATATTTTAAACTCATTGATTAAATTGTTTACTGTGAACCTGTGACTGAATTTCATACGTTGTCTGAAATTTTCGAGAGGGGGAAATGTGGTGGTAGTGAGTTGACCACCTAGGATAGAGGACGTAATGAATGAACTATGCATCATATTAGCATCATGTTAGAGATCATTTGGTTAATGCAAATTAAAGACCTGCCAATCATGTCTATTGATCTAACAGCTTGGTGGTGCTAAAACCAGGACTCACTCTTCGTTAGCTATTGCAAGATTATAGTTACCTTCCATTCAATGATCCATATTTACTTATTTAACTTTAGTATTAATTCAACCGTATTATTAGTTCAGTTTTCATTTAAATTTAGGGGATATCACATCCATTTAAAAAAAACTATCTTGTTTTTGAAATTATAAAAACTGCTGGCATCAATTTAAATTTTTCCGAAACTACATAAATATTTCTTTAGACATTTAAATTTTTCTTCAGTCTGATTTTTAGCAGTTTCTCTGCCAATTTTGGGGACTTTTCGAAATTTTGTGACGAAAATTCCAAAACAATTTTTGGGCATATCTAGTCTCTACAAAAATTCATCAAATTTGTGGTGAAAAAATTTAGATTGTTTGCTTTTTCCGCGGATCTGCGAAATGTGAAATCAATTATCATAAGATAACTCTACTTTGGCGTGGAATCGAATACCGCCCGAGCAACTTACTATTTTTTTTTTCAATTTAAAGTGCTCGATTTAAATTTAAAAAATTTCATTTAAATCGAGTGGGCTCATAAATTCACATTTAAATAAATTGAAATTTAAATGAAAAGCTAAATAGTCTTTTTTAAAATTGACATCACTGCTTCCAAATGATAATCCTAATTTGTATTTTTATATTCGGAAGAATGATTAGTTTTATCTCATCTATATAACATCCATAGCCTGGCTTTGATTTGGAACTGAGATTCTCTTGCTTTCTTCTGGGTTCTCTTTAGCCACTTTAATGCTTTCAGAAGATTCCGTATCTTTGCTAAACTCTTCCTTTACTTCATCTTCAACATTTTTTAAACGGCTCTCTTTGACTTCCCTATTGAACATTTTCAGTTTAATATTCCGAATTTCGTCGAAAGTTCGCAATAATTGGGTTTCTAACGCGTCGTTTTCTTGATTAACCGTTTCTAGTTCTGTCTGAGTTGCGGACAACTTTCCCTCTAGATTTTCTATAGAACATCTAAGTTCTTTCTTCTCATGATCACTCGAACTCTTGACTTCAATTAGCTCTTTTTCAAGAGTCTTCTTTGTGACGTCTAATGAACTGATCAATTGTTCAAATTTTTTCAGCTCTGAAACCAGCTTTGATCTTTCTTGCTCTGAAGTTTTCGCTGTGGCCGATAGTTTACGATTACAATCTACCAATTCGTTCATATTGGCTTCAATTGTCAATAAAGTGTTTGCATTTAATTTTTTCACATCTTGTATCTTTTGAAACATTTTGTTGATGTTTTCGATTTCCATCGCTAAATCGTTTCTCTGAATATTCAATTGATTTTGTTCTGCTTTCAAATTGTTGTTGTAATTTTGCAGCTCTAGAATTTTCAAATCTGATTTGTGCAGTTTTTTCTTGAACATTTCTAGTTCCTCTTCAAGTGCCGCTCTTTGATTTTCCAGTAACTTTTTCTCGCTACTCATTGAAATTTTCTCTTTATCCATTTCCACTTTTAAGTTCGAATATTCTAAATCTTTATCTTCTAATTTTCGTTGTAACTCAACTACTAGTTTTTCTTTGATTTCGCAGCTTATTCTTTCGTTGTTCAGTGAGTGCAATAATTGCGTTTCGAGTGTTTGGTTTCGTTTGCGCAGAAGTTGGTTCTCCGAAAAGAGACCTTCTACTCGAGATGTCAGACCATTGAACACATTCCAAACAGGCTCCATTTTTGATTAATAAGTCAACCAGAAAAATCTGGTTCGAGTTTTGGGGCAAAACTTTTTGATTGCTTTTTGAAAAAAAAACTGGAGAAGCCTGAAAACTTTTCGTGTAGCGTTAACTAGAGTCATTTTGCAATCCGATTTTTAATTCTGAGAATGAGGGGATAGATGGACAAAATTAAAAAACACAAGCAAATTATTCACTTAATAAATGATAAATTTAAATACAATTCAAATATTAACAAATTAGTTCAAATGAACATTATAAACACAATGAAGCCACTCTGCTGATCAACTTTTTCTCTCAAAAAAAATCAAGTTATCGGGAAAAAAAGTTTTTATTTATTAATTCTTCGGCAGAGCTCAGCAAGAAAAACTACCTCAGATACTTCAAATGCACTTCTAGCCCGATGAATACGACCTTCATATACACCACATCACATCAGCATAAAAGCATGAGTATGGAAAGGACCATAGACCACTGTAACCCTTCACTATTGCTTGAAACTTTCCACCAGCATCGACGTAATTTGTTTACTTTTCAGCATAAAACACTCGCAAGTAGCTACTGAATTTACACACTTAGTAAGCACTCAGAAAACCATCTGTTCACCATTAAGAAAACAGAGCGTTCAGTTACTGTACAATAATTTGGTGAAATACGTTACAAATTTGTGATATGCTAAGCCTTGTTTAAGTTTCTGAATCTAATAATTTTTCAGAATCCAGAGGGAAAATGATTGGGTGGAGACAATAACATAGACACACAATAATGTAGAGTGATGACATCGCTATATTAGAGACTGCAGTTTTATCAGTTCAGAAAGAGTAATCAGATTCGGGTTTTTTTGCATGCAATTTTTGTATTCATCTTCAAAAATTAGAAAATTTTGAAAGTTTCTGTACACTGATGCTAGGAACCTTGTCATTTATAATATAACATTTTCACCCTAACGCTCAGGCCAAAGAACGTTCAAACCATAATTAGTCTGATAAAATTGCAGCCTTTGTCTTTATTATGGAACCAGTTGACTGTCTTCATCGTGTTGGCCATGTGGTGAGCCCTTTCAGTGCAGCTCCAGGAAAGAGGGTGCCTCGCCCTCTTCCACTTTGACCTTGAACTGCTTCACCACAGTGTCCAACTCCTCTGCATTGCCAGACATGAAGGCAGCCAGTGCTGTCTCGAATAAGGTCAACTGACGGGTCATCACCTTCACCTGTTAAGAAAGATAAACTAAGAAGGGCAATAACAAACAGTGCTAAGCAACTTTTGTTATCATCACTTTCTGTCTAATCTTAACCCAAGCACTTGCCATACAACACAAATATAATCAAAACATGAAGCGAAAAAAAAATTTGAATGTTGAAAAAAAATTTAATTTAATTGATTTAATTTAATAAATTGATTTAATTTATCCAGACAAAACTTGAGTTTTCGAATGCGTTTTTCTCAATTTGGGTTAAAATTAGACAAAAGTGAAGACAACAAAAGTTGCTTAGAATTTCATCACAATTAATATGGTGCAATTTTTTCTTCGAAATTCTCAAACAAAATTTTACCCGAAATTAAGTCATTTTGGCTTTTTTCCATTAATCAAAAATGACGCCGAAACTACTTTGTTAATTGATGAGAAAAAATATCACAAGAAGCCTATTACACAGACCAACAAAGTTCTAGAAGGATTAAATCTCCAAAAGTTTGACTAAATTGCTTATAATTTGTTTATAAGCAAAGATTTTGGGTTTTTTACAGTGAAAATCAAATTTCTTGACTATCAAGCAAAAATATTTTTTCTTATACAGGTTTTTGGAGATTTAACCTTTCTAGAACTTTATTGGGCTATGTAAGAGGCTTTTTGTGATATATATTTCTCATCACTTAACTAAGTAGTTCCAGCGAAATTTTTGAATAGTTGAAAAAAAAAGCCAAAATGACCCATTTTGCACCATATTAATTCTGATTAGAAGCTAAGCAACTTTTGTTTTATTCACTTTCTGTCTAATCTTAACCCAATTGGAGAAAAAAGTGTTTGAAAATTCAAGTTTTTTTCATTTTGTCCGGATAAATTAAATCAGTACTGTTCTAGGTGAAACAAAATTTTCGCATGTCTCGATAAAAAACAATTAGGGGGCCAGCTAAAGCTGGGGGTACGTAATGATATTGAATGAATTTGCTATAATGATGCGGCACGAAAGTGTGATTTCAAAAATTTTACTTTGCCCAAAACCTTAGTTGTTTCTCTACTATATAAAGAGAGTAAAAAAACTTCCAGATAATCAACTTTTCCAGGGAGATAACATTTCTACAAAAAATTAAGGCGTCATCGCTTCTGCAGGAACAATTATCGCAACCGGCTCTTTGAATTGAACTTTTCATTTCAGATTTGATTGTGTGTTTCTAAAAAAAAACGGTCAAAAGGTTTTCCAAAGTTCATAACTTTTTTCTCAAAAAAGAATGTTGCGGCAAAGATTCCCAAATCTGAGTTTCCCGATCAAACAAACTTGAGAATTGGCAAGGTAGTTTTCGCATAAAGTCAAAAAACTTCCTAAAACTGTTAAAATTGCAAAACTTGTTTGAAGGCACTAAATTTTTTCTCAAACAAACTGCGTATAGCCAATTATCAACTTACTTTCAAAAACATTTTGTTTCGATTAAATCCATGATATCAGATTTGGCAGGATAGTTAGCGAGAAAGTCAACAAATCAAAAACTTGACTTCTCCGAAAAACAAATCTTTTTGTGTAAAAAAAGTGCATAGCCGCCTATGCAGACGGAATTTACGAAAACTGTTATTTCGATTGAACTCAAAACCCTCAGATTTGGGAGGGCAGTTCTCGATAAAAGGTCAAAAAACAGAAATTTCCGAGGGCCATAACTTTAAGTGTCGGAAAAATTTGGGCTTAGTCGCTTAAGCAAATGAGCTTCCCGTTCTTTGAATTGAACACAAAATCTCAGATATGTCAAAGTTTTCGATATTTTTCAAAAAATTTAAAAAACGGTCAAAAATCGACTTTTCCGAGGACTTTTCGTGTAAAAACTTTGTGAGTGGCCGCTAAAGCAAGAGAGCTTCCCACTGCCTGTTATCGCCATTGAAACCATGATATCAGATAAGAGAGGCTAGTTTACGAAAAAAAAATCAAGATTCACAAAATTCTGAGGGCTATAACTTAGTGTAAAAAAATTGCGCGCAGCCGCATATGCAGGAGGCTTTTAAAAACTGTTCTAATCATTGAAAGTAAGAAGTCAAATTCGAGAGGGTTAGTTTCCGAGAAAACGAAAAAATATATAAATGGGTCAAATATTCCCCCACAGACTTTTTTGAAGGCTGAAGACAGAGGGGTCAAGTGAAAAGAGACTCTTTGGGAGTATGGAGGCTCATATTAAAGTAGGCGGTCTTTTAGTTCCCTGATACGACCCAAAATTAGTTATTAAGCCCATATAATTTGGGCAGAGCAATTTTTTAGCGAAACAAAAAAGGAAATACGAAGTCAAGGTAAATAAAATTACATATTGTATGAGTAAATCAAACAGTAAAAGCAACATTAAATAAAAATGCGCACAGCAAAAAAAAAAGATTCCATGATGTGACAACTAAGCCCACAACAGATAGGCGACAAATAATTGGCCGACAATTTTATTTGAAAGAATATTTTCTGTTTGAAAAAAAAAAACAGGTCCTGGTCAGATTCAAATCCAGAACCTTTGCCGTCCAAGGCATATTCTTTCAGAAAGGCGACCCCTGGAAGCGACCGCGAAGGCATGAAAACTTCCTGGAGAAGACAAGTCTCAAAAGAAATGGAACCGCTCCTAAAACCCTATCGTTGCCCAAAGAAGAAATGGGAGGAAACGTGGATGGAGATGTGTCAAGAAACTGCTGAAAACCGCCAATAGTGAAGAGCTGTTGTATGCGACTTAACCATGGCGGACAAAAGGCAGCAATGCCTGCAAACGTCCTAAGAAGAAGAAGAAGAAGAAGAAGAAGAAGAAGAAGAAGAAGAAGAAGAAGAAGAAGAAGAAGAAGGCATATTCGTTACCTCCATGCTAAGTTAGATGGAAACGCACAGAAATTATATTTCATTCTGAACCAAGATACCCGTAAAAAAAATCTATATTCCAGATTGATAACGGTTGCTAATCGCAAGCGTAATAAAGAACCTTTTCTCAATCAAACTGCAAAATATTTATTACACTGTTTTTAACTTACTCTGTTTTCGTCTAACAATTTCAGTTTGATGTCTACATCTTTGTGTAGTGTCTCGAAACGAGACTTGTGCTGTTCTAGGTTCCCGTCGGACTCCGAGGAACTCATCGTGCCATGTGTTGTTGTTGTTGGACTTGTGCCATTGGGAGCTGTGCTGTGCGTTGTTGCCTCGGACCCGAGTGAGGACTCTGTCTCGTTACGATATGCATCGAATTGGACTCGTGCATACTGGTACTGCTTCACAGTCATGACTGTGTCCTGGGTAGTTTTGTTCACAAGCGTATCCATGGCATCAATGAAAAAGCGAATTGCACTTAATAGTGCGTCTCCATTCTTAACAAGAGACTTCTGTGTGTTGGCATTACTTGTGAAAGCATCGTGCAAATCTGGTTGCTTAAAAGACAGTTCCGAGAAAAGCTCGGCTAATGATTTTTGTGTCTGGATTACATTGAACATGTGTGCATTAAACGATTTAGCCAAAGTGAGAATTCTATTGTACTTTGCTTGCGTGTCCAGGAGGATTTCGATTTTCTTTTCCAATTCTGGATCAACTGTTTTTGTTGTTCTTCCCAATTTCTCGTTAATTACCTAAAAACTTCCCCAATTTCAGCTAAACATCATATAATAAAAGGCACTATGAATGTCCTGATTTTGAATGTCACCTGTTTGCTGCATTTGTATGTGTTCACACTCCACACTTTCAAATTCGCAATCTTCTGTTGCATCTCTACTGATCGCACTGCTTTGTTTTTAGAGTGTCCAGAGTCGGCGTCTTCTGGGTGAGCTATTGCCGGGTCAACAGGAAGCGGCTTCACTTCTGCAATCAACATGCAACTCATCAGAATGTGTGAAAGAATGAAATGACATCACAGAGACATTTTAAATGAACCAAATCGAGTGTTCAATGCATGAGGCTGAGTTCATCGCAACTGACAGAAATGGAAAATCAATTGCTCAACATTTTTCCACTGAATTTCTGAATATTTTCACACAAGGGCAAACGGAGCTTTGCATCACTTGCGATACAACGAAAGCGTAGTATTGCAAGCTAAAGGATAGAAAATCAAACGGAAAAACAAAACGAATAAATATAGTTGAGAAAAGTTGGAAATTTTTGAAACAAAAAGACACAATCAATTTCAGAGAACAGCAGAAACACACAACCACCAGCATAATATAAGCTTTTAGCATAACTCCGACAAAACGTTTAGCAAATTAAGCCGACAAAACGTCAATATACACCCATTGAGATGAGCCAGCAAAAGCTGGGCGGCAACTAAGGCAAACAATTCTGGTTAACCACCTGTTGACCGGAAAACAAACTTTTGAGCGGAAAAGAAAAAAAATTCAAAAATTTGTCTCAGGCCATACCCGTAGTGATTTAAACTGAAATAAGGTATTATTTCTTACATTGGGAAGAACGTACATTCCATTCTGTGATCTCAAAATTAGATATGGCAGGATACTTTTCAAGAAGAGGAAAAATTAACCACAACACGATAAAAATTTCGTAAAAAGACTTTTCCTAAACCATACCTCTTTTTCTATCAAAAATAGGATGTAACCGTTTATGCATAGTCTCTGCAGCATGTTGTTTCAATTGAATTATTAACCTCAGAATTGGCGGGCCAATGATTGAGAAAAAATAAGTTTCCGAAAATAAAACAAACGATCAAAATCTCAAAAATTAGATTTTTCCTAGTTCATTATTGTTTTTCTACTAAAAAACGGCGTAGCTGCTTCTACAGGGAATTTTCTCACAGGCTGAACCTATAATCGCCGAGCCAATTATACAGGGAAGATTCGAATTTCAAGTTTTGTCAATTGAACTCTAAAACTGAGATTTCCCAAATGGCAAAAACGATGTAAATTTAGAAAACGGCTTCCAGATAGCCATAATTTTTTTCTACTAAAACTGGGGCGTAGCCGCCTGCAATTGGAGGATTACAGCAACTAATTTTTGCTATTTTATTCAAAATAAAGGCGTATTGGCTCATGCAGAAGAGATCCCAGCTACCTGTTCTTTTCATTGAAACCCTAGTCTTAGATTTGGCGTAGTAGTCTCGGAGAAAATATCCAAGAAATTGAATCAAACATTAACCCCACTGGAATAAATTTTCAATGGCGTTGAAAATGGGGTAAAAAAACGGGATAGGAAAATATGTAAACAAGGTATAGTAGCCGATCTTTTCTTGAAAATCGGTAAGCAGTCGTCGAGAAAAAAACAAGGATAGCCAGTTACTATGCAAACAGCACAGAGTGTTCCGACCATTTTTTGACTCTAAAAAAAACCAAAAAAAAATTTCTCTAGAACTTAGGCACAATCGACTGGCATAATAAAATAGGCAAATTGGGAAAGCTTTTGTAGAGAAATGAATAGAGAACTGAACAAAAACATTTTCAAATTTTTTCGAATTTTGAAAGAATAACTTATCATCGAGTACTTCCAATTTTGAATAGTTACAGGTTGTTTTCGTGTGTAATGAGTGACTAAAGAAACTGCTGAGCAAACAATTTTTCAAAGATTCGAAGCTGAGGTTCGCAACACTTGCAATGCAACAAGTGAAAGATTAAAACCGCAAGAGACTCAAGAACTATCAAAAAGGACTTCGAACGTTGTTACCCTTGGAGAAAAATAGAAAACAAAAATAACAAAAATAAAAATCAAAAGTTCCTTTTTATGTTTATATTAATTAATTGGGGTTGAAATTGAGCATTTTAAAAATCAAATTAGAGGCCAAAGTGTTATCGGTCTCAAAATCATATCAGACATTTGCATGAAAAAATATTAAATCAATAAGCCGACATAAGTCCAGCCGACAGCTTGTCAGCTAAAAATCAACATAAGTTGTTCGGCAAAATCTTTTTCACAAAGATACATGGACTGCCCAAATAGTATCCAGGAAAGCAATAGATCTACTGAATACAAGAAATTATACACAATTCAGAAACTAGACCGAGCGCTATGCCATCAACTTTAACCGATTTCAAATTGAAATGCTCAATCCTAGAATTAAAACTAATTCCACGCACTTTTAATTAATTTAAAAAATCAGAAACCAAGCATCAGAAAAAAATGAGATTTTTTTGCATTTTTTAACCATAAAATTTTTGAGTGTAAAAAATTATGAGAACATACATTTAATTTACCCTGCTGACCATTATGAAAAAAAGTGTTAAAAAAATCTACAAAAAATTACCGAAATAAAACACCCGGCAAGTAAGCCGACAAAAATTGGTACAAAATAAAAAAGCAGGAAAAAAATCAATTTATAACTGAGAATTTTTTGCATCTGCAGACACATCTTTAGCTCTAGACCAGTTGTTAAATTACAGCTATTGAACGTACAAGTTCGCTCGAAACCAAAAAATTTTATAATTTTTTTTTCATCTTCAATTTTTCTTGTTTTATTACGGATGGCTTAAAGGGGTGATGAAGATTTCTCAAAAACTTAACGTTAGACTACAATCGCTACTATGATCGCTACTGTAAACAAAAAAAATAATAGAATAAAAACATTAGGAAAGTAAGCAGACAGAACTAAAGACGACCGACCTGTGCCGAAAATCTACCAATTTTGAATCCGAAAATTTTATTTACAACTCTTTACGTAAAAGGCACTTATTTCGCCAATACAGTAACCGTGTTATTAATTAGCAATACAGCGGTACACTAACGATGTATGTAGCGGGTATGAAATATACTGATTACCATTTGACAAGGGTAATCAAAAGGGTAATCAAAATAAATGAACATAGTTTTGAAGAAAAAAAAAACATTTTCCCACACAATAGATTGCAAAATAAGCATCGAAAAAAACTAACGAAGCGGTAACAAAATCAAAAAGACTTGAGCAGAAACCCTTCCTGTCGAAACAGCACACTCGCAAAAAAAACACCGCAGTGAGAAGCCACTTGGTCGATATACAATAAACAGGAACTTATAAACCGGGAAGAAATGAGAAAAGTTTAAAAATCGAATGGGTAGAAGTACAACCAATGCAAACATCCAATATCGATTCCACCGGATTTTCGAAATGCTATTACACTTAAAAACAATTACAATGAAAATCCTCTACAGCAAAAAAAAAACGATCCTTAGAAGTGGCAACTACGCCGACAAAACGTACACAGAGAAATATTAGGCCGACAATTTTATTTGAAACAGAAAATTTACCGTTTAAGAGGCCCTGGTCATGTTCCAACCCAGGACCTTTGCCGTCACAGGCGTATTCGTTACCTCGAGTCTAAGTGTGCAGGAGATACTAAGAAGTTTTGAATTCATTATGAAGCAAGGTACTACCAGTAGTCCAGATGACTGCTGTGAAAAAAGTTATTTACGGGGAAAAACTAGTACCCGATTGCATTATCTGGTTTATCGCAAGGGTAAAGCAACATTGCGTTAATTATAATAAGTAAATTATACATTTATACCCCTCAAAAATCTTAGGTGGTGGGGCTAAAAATTCAAAACTCATTCATTACCTCTGAGTGGAGGCCGATGCAAATTTGGGGCAGTCGTAGGCGGATAATATCCAGTAGATTCCTCCATAACTTCCAGTTGCCCATCGTTCATTTCGAAAAATAAATCTGAACTTGCAATCTGAAAAGAGTAACACGACATTAGCAAGATAACCAATATTAATAAGAGGAGACCTACGGCCTGCTGCATCAGGAAACACTTGGTCCTTATTCTGAAAACCGAAGTTACTTTACTAGTCCTTTATCATATCACCCAGTGAAACAATTATTGGAATTTCATACATTAGGTAAAAATTAAAGTATAACGTGAATAAACGTAGTCAGAAGGTTGCGAAACAAGCCAATCAGAATGGTCCTTATCATGTGTCATTCGACCAGAATGCCGTCGAAATTTGTGCGACGAGACGTATCTTATTTAAAATAAAGTTGACTGCACGATAGGTCGATTTTGCGGATTAACGGTGTTATTCAAGAAAAAAGCCGAATTGGGAAGGGTCAATTTGGGCCGAAGTAGTTATTTTAAAAATTTCCATTTGAGCGTGCATGATACGTAACAATTTTATTTTTCACGACAACTGAAAAGCCGCAAAAATCAGAACAACGATTTTTGCTACTAGAAACGATACGACGGAGACAGTAAACGACTGAAACGAGAATTATTGACATTAGAGTAAGAAGCCATCCGCACTTTAACGATTGAACAGTTACAATAGTTACCGGAAAAATTTAACGCATTTTCAATTTATCGACTCAAAATCATAATGTACATCCTGGACGCTTTAATGGACTTGGTCGAGGCCTACTTTGGGCCTGTCATAGACAATTTTTATCGAGTGCTAATGGAAAGAGACTATACTCAAGATGACCCAGAGGGAAGGATGTTGACAGCTGCATTGACGAACATCTTGCGGCTTGAAAACCGTGGAGACCGCTCCACGGAAGTCTTGTTGATGACCGTTTGGGGCGACCATGGAGTGATAAATCGTTCAAGCCTGTCTGTCAAGAGGTGGAGAAATCGAACACTGTCGGGAAGTTACTTAGACATCACTTTCAAGTAATTGCCAGGGGAACTCCTGACGCCTCGCGAAATAGGCCAAACGACAGAAATGCAAATCAGGACAGGATCTGGAAGAGATACATTGAGTGACCCGGTAGTCGAAAGGACAATGAGACAGCTGGTTGAAGTCGCTGGTCTAATCGTGGCCACAAGGATTACGGCACGTTCCGGAGTGACTGCACCCTAGGGAAAATTTGACGATGCAAGCTTAATGGAAATTTCTGCGATTGTAACGAAAACATCGGAAGCCAGGACTAATTCATCCACTGGATCGGGCAGGGCTCTAGCACGCACATAAGGAAAATGCCAGTGAAGAAAAATCGCCATCCAAGATGACAAACAGATCAAGAACAGTTTCATGAGATTTACTGATTTGCGAGCCTGCTTTAATGGTTCGATGTGAACCCGGCAGTAAGGATGCAATAGCCCCCTTGGCAGGCACCTCACTTTTGATGATGGGCGATAGCCTAGTGAGGCCGTTACAAAACTTGAGGTTTTCATGAATCACCTCAGTGATGGTGTATTGAGGTTCTACGGTAGCCCAATTGAACTGAATGTTTGAGCTAAAAAATCCGATGATGATTGTAGAAGTTACAATCGTAGTGGGCACCAATAGCCACCAACCTATCAAGGACTCCAGAAGCTGAAGAACGCCTGCCTTATTTGTCTGCCTTTTTACTGCGGTCTGGCAGAAATTCCAGCGCTCGGTACTGACCGTTTGCACGATACCCACAAATACGAATACACATCAGGATCTTCAACGAAAGCAAAATGAAAAATGTATTAGGTGGAAAAACATAGTTTCTAATCTGGCGAGTCGGAATGCTGGACAACTTGTGCTGATGGGCCTGCAGCATGAATTGAGAGCCCTGGATCAACTGAGATTTACCACTGATGGGATACACTTTGACAGCATAACGGGGCAAGCCTGGATGAACCGTGTCTTCCAGGAACGATTTGACGAGCTGGAGGTGGAGCTATGGGACGCAGGGTCGTTTAGCGCTGAAGATACCTTTGTCCCGCCGAATCTGGAAACGCGTCTGGGATCAATCCCAGCCGTGACCCAGATCGTGCGCAGCTCGTGTGACCAAGAGCAGAGGTCAAGTGTGGTCGAGCGACTGGTTGAGGCTCCAGGGGAGAGGAAAATTCATCCACGACGGAGGTTGGTTCCAGTAAACCCAAAAGAAACCCTGGAACTTCCAGATCAGAAATGCCAGCTTCCAGAACAGAGCAGCGCCCTGATCGTGTTTCGTTGGCGTGGTCGAGACCATTACCTGCTCCGTGGCGCATTTTAGGATCTGATGAAACTTAAACTTCTAACAGTAAGTTTTGCCTCAGGTGCATCGCGAATGCTGGATGGCGCGAAGCTATCCATGAATGGACTATATGCTATCGAAATTCTATTTAATTTCAGTTCGACAACCTCATTGGGATTGGCTGACCTCGAGGGATTGCCCTCGAACAACACCATGGGTCCAATCAACGCAAGAACGCTGCAAGACGTGAGAGTGACTCACTACGATCAAGGACAAGACGAGAGACCAGGAAGAGTTTTGAAGAAAAGGGCGCCTATTGGACAAAATGTGAAAGTGTCTAATCAAGTAAGAGCAACTCCTGCTGATGTAAGAAACTGTTGGCATGTAGTTGGTAGAGCAGGAGGATGATATGGAACGTTATGGCGATTTGAAATTTAAAATCGATGAATCCTTCTTTGTTGCTTACTAAGATAAACTTGATAAACTTGATAAAGAAGGCAAAGATAAACTTGAAAACGACTTCAGACTTTAAAAAAATCTCGAAATCGTTATTCTGACCAGATGTGATTATGCTTGCAGGAGTTTATCTGGATTGCATGCAACCAATAACATTGGCCATTGGAATTCAGCGACATACGGAATTGAACACGATAAGGATTTTCGTCGCTGGCCTCAACGGTCAGTTTCACAATAGACGTCTACTGAGCAGACTCAGAGAGCCGACTACGGCTAAAGCTGCTATGTGGCCAGCTGTTAAGGACATCCTGGAATACATGGTTGAGATAATGGAAAAAAGAGAAGGAGCGAAAACGAGGCAAAATGCCAGAACAAAGAGACAAAGCTCACTCAGAGGCCGTAGTCCTGAGAACGAAACCGAAGTGGCTGCACTTGACTCCTGGAGTTGCTGCATTAGGCATGGAAGCTTTCCAACGAGATCCCCCAATGAATGCCAAAATCCACAAGTACATCCTGAAAGAATTGAATCTGTCAGAGGAGGAAAGCGAGAAATCTACAGATTTCGTGGATAGGATGATCAGAATCACGCTGGAAATGTTCTGGACGAAAGATGGAACAAGGAAAAAAAGACTATGTGAGAACGCTTAGCATGTTGGAAGGAGTAGGAGCAGGATAGACTGCACCTTTCCTGGCAAAACAGTGCCCTCGGTTTTCTCGCTACCTGATACGAAAGTTCCTGAAAAAAGCGAGTTGTCGTTTTTGGTGGTCCTGGCATTGTTTGTGATATTCGGAGCAGAAAATTTCTAAAAAGTACCCATCGTGCTGTTAACAAAGTGAATACAGAATCTCCGACTGGATCGTCTACTCACACTGATTGCCACGACATACGGCAGACTGGGAGAGTTTATAATCCTGACATGATACCCAGAGCAGATGCAATAAAGATGTAGAGAATTTCCAACTGCAAAGAGCCACAGCCTGCTGGACGAGATCTCAGACACACGTTGATAGAGTTTCTGTTGCAGAAGCATGGAATTTGTGAGGTGGAAACAGAACGTATTGAATTATATCCGAAATTGTGGAGCCTCAGACCCTATGACAAGACAAATGGGGAGATAACAAGAATCCTCAGACTGTTAGCGACGTATCAGAAAGGGAGGCAGGAGACGGAGAATTGTGATGATTTCAAGAGATTGCCTGGAGAACTACCTGAATATCCTCTGTTTCGAAGATCGTTGCTCCGTAGTGTATGCGCCCAGGTTGAGAGCGTTTGAAACCTGTGAGAGATGGATGACGGGATTCTCCGATTCGATGATTCTTTATTTTGTGGGCAGATATGCGGCCGAATTGCAATATAAACAAATTGCGAACTTGGAAGAATCGACTGGGAGGATTATGGGCAATTTTACAACTCTCAGGCCCGGAAGAACTGACCAAGAATCGGACAAATTAAATTTTGTGCGCCAAGCATTATGAGGGGAAAAGTTGATACTCGCGAGAGCAGAGTTCACAGCGTTGGGAAAGTTGTTGACTAGAGATGCTCCAGCACTCTCTGGCTGTGAAGAAGTCGTAGTGATGCACGACGAGAAGTCGCAGTGATGCACTCTTCGGCTGCCAAGAAGTCGTAGTGATGCACGTAGAGCAGGAGACCAATCTTTATTGAGTTAAGTTTTTTTTCGTTATTTTTTTCCAATTGATTGTTACAAAATGAAATTTCAAGGCGTACTATTGGTTAAAAAAGCTTCACTTTGAAGAAAAAAGTTTCTAGGCCTTGGTTCCCTTACTCACACTTCCTGGCGGATAACATCATTATCTATTCAATTTCCATATTCGTTTGTGCTCTGGTCGATCACGAACCTTCTTGTACCATTTAAATTAGGAAATAGCGCTCGTATAGCTCGAGTTTCCCTCCAAATTCGAATTTTCAGCAATTTTTTAAAAATTTCACACCGCAAAAACAAAAAAAAATAAAGTACTAGAACATTTTTAACTCTCTGTTCAATTAAATTTTTGTCGTTGAGGTTTTCTTTACATGTTCAATTGTCTTAAGAAAAATTGGATGAGCCTCCGGGAATAATAGTACATATTCTTTGGATAACTTCATCAACTAGACCATTGAGCGCATGAATTCGGAGTTTTTTCATTTATAATGATCCAGCTTTGACAGAATTTCAAAAATCACCTCAGAGACTCAAATTTATCTCATTTGCATCTCAACTCACCGCGTCTTATATATTTCAACACATTTCGTTTTCGCTGCATTCCCAGAAGTATCCCTCAAAACTTCACCACGAAGTCGTTGCCCTAGATAGAAAAATTCTGACCATTTGTCATCCGGTCGGATTGGC